CATATGGATAGAATCAGGGAATCACATAACGTTTTTTTTATATCTCTGTTCAGATAGTGTCTGTGCGAATATATCATTTTCAACACAGAATATGCTTTCGCAAGTATACTAGTTACATGCTCTTTAAATCTAAGATTATAATCAATAACAAGACCTAAATTTTTTGCCGAATCTTTAAACTCTATATTGTCATCATTAATTTTTATCATCAGTCTGTCCAATAAGTTAGCTCTAATATTGTTACCACAGAAAAGCAAAGCAGCAGATTTCTTTGGGTTTATTTTTAACAAATGATTTTTAGACGCAGATGCTAAGTTACATAAATCATTATTAATCTTAAAGTTAGCATGGACTACTTCAGAGGGATTAAAAGAATAGTAAAGCTGTGTATCATCCGCATACATATGATATTTACAATAAACCAGCGATTTAATAACATTTAGTGTGTAGATAGAATACAGCAACGGCCCTAATATACTTCCCTGTGGCACACCAGACAGCATGATAAGAGGTTGTGAAAACTTATTGTCGAGTGACACTCGCTGCTTCCTATCACAAAGAAATGAGGTTATTAGCGATGATGCGGTATTCGTAAAACCTATATAATGAAGAATTGATTTGAGTATATCGTAATTAAGAGTGTCAAACGCCTTACTATAATCTAACAAGACCAGTACCATAGCTTCACTATTATCTCTTGACTTAAAAATATCATCTGTCAAATCAGAAAGAGCAGTTGAACAGCTATATCCACGCCTAAAACCAGATTGTTTTTCCGGAAGGACATTGTTGGCATTTAGAAATGCAGTAATTTGCATTTCCATAACTTTTTCAAGAATCTTGCTCAATGCGGGTAAAATTGAGATCGATCGAAGATGGGTAGGCTCTGTTGGATTGTTAACCTTAGGAAGAGGAATGACGTTTGCACATTTCCAGGATTTAGGAAAGTAAGACTGATCTATACATGTATTTATAATATGCGTAATAAAAGGAATAATATACGGGCAACATATAAGTATAAGTGTTATATTTAAATTATCACATCCAAATGCTTTAGATTTCATATTTTTAATTATATGCATTATCAAATTATCAGTTATAGTGTCAAAACTAAACGAATTATCAACTATTTTATTATTTTTATAAAAATTTATTAGTTCAACGTCCGGCGCAACAGTATTGCATGATGATTCAATGAAATATTTATTTAACTTATCAACATCCCTTAAATTTTCAGGTATATTTATATCTTTTCTTTTGCATATATTTAATTTTTTCAATTCATCCCATTTGTCTTTAGCATTAGAGTTTTGAAATTTGTAAGTAAGGTACGCTCTTTTTTCGGCCCTGATGGCACAAGTCGTTAAATTTCTATATTGTTTATAAGAGGCCCAACCCTCAGGAGATCTGGATAGACGATATTTTTTAAAAGCCTTATTACGTAAATTTTGCATTAACTTGATGTTATCAGTGAGCCACGGGCAATAAGTATTCTTACGAGATTTAGTAACTTGCAAGGGAGCATGCTTGTCAAATAAGTTAATTATACACGTAGTTAAAAACTCAACTTTGTCATCAATACTGACTATATCAAAAATTTCCTGTAGATGTAAGTTTTCCAAATCATGTTGAAATAAATCCAAATCAATTCTGCGCAAAGCCCTGTAAGTAATACTTTTAACTACAGGTTTCAAATGATTAAATATTAAATTACAATATATTAAAAAATGATTCGACACATGAACGTCTTTCACACCAGACTCGGCAATATTATCAGAATTATAAAAAATTAAATCAATCAAGGAAAATGAAGTATCCGAGTACCTATGAGTAGGTTCTGAAATAAGCTGTTGCATATTAAAAACTCTTGTAATATTTATTAAATTAGACGCATTTCTTGAATTTAACTGAAACATATTAATATTAAAGTCTCCAAAGCACAATATTAGATCTTCCTGAGCTTAAAAATTAGCTAATATGTCTTCAAAATAATTAAGAAATTGTGTGCAATCAGTATTGGGTGCTCTATAAATAGTACCAATAATAATGGTTTTCCCAAAAATATCTAGCTTTATATTCACTTAAAATTACTCTATATTTTAACCCGTTCTTTATATATAAACCAACTCCCCCAGCATGCCCCGGTCGATCTTGCCGCACAATTGAATAATCGTTAATTTGTACTTTATCATCTGCAATGCCATTATGTAACCAAGTTTCTGTAATTCCCACGATATCATAATTAGAGGTAATTAAAAAATCTTTAAAAGTAGAGAAATCATGCATCAATAAACCCACATTTATATGACCACAGCTTAACATTAGTAGAAGTATGGAAAATAATAAGAATAGAGAAAAGAATAAAAAATAGTAAAAATAGAAAGAGAAAAAAAAGGAGGAATTGTAACTAAGTAGGCACTTTATGAAGTTATTATATACTATAGGTATTATACCATACATACTGTATACTGCCCAGCCGTCTGCCAAATATCTTTATTAAGTAGTGTAACATATTTAAATAAAATTAGGCAGTCATTCTTCATTTACGACTGAATTACTTACTAACATAGATGTATTAACATAAAAGCAATTATTTAATATAAGTAAAAATAAAACATATATCAGCAACTCATGACAAAAATATTCTTAGTATAGAAAAAAAAAAGGCGCAAAAATCAGATACAACGTAAGCAAAAATAAATATGGGTTCTGATATGGTGTATCTATCTATATATATTATATGAGTATACCTATTATTACAGTGATAAATAACGAAATATAATAAAACCGACGAAAGAGTGAAAAAGCAAATTACCATATTAATTATTAATACAAATCAAAGAAAAAAAAAACAAGATTGAGCAGATCCAGCAGCAATACTTAAAGAAAAATGCATTTTGGGATAACAACAAACAGAAACGACATACATATACTCATCTGTCATTTATAAGTTCATTTAAATCTTCCCGATCATTTAAACGGTAGACTTTTTCCTTTAGCTTAACATAAATGTTGCCATAAGAACACCACACAGTTTTTGCATTAAATTCCTTTGCAGCCTCGGTAAGAAGTAACAGTTTATTTCGGGTTAGATCTTCTCTTATCACCACTCCAGATGACTTGAGAAACTTTTTTTGTCTGAGCACCATAAATCGTTTGTTTACATCAAAAAACTCAACAAGGACAGCAGGCGGTTTAACTTTATCAAGGTTTTTTGTTAACACTCGACGAATATTTTTAATATCGCTTGCTGTCATATTGAGTTTTAACTTTTCATTAAACAAATTTAACACTGATTCTTGCAAATTTTCACCTTCTGCAATAGCCATACCAAATATACGCACATTTAGATTTCTAGAGTATTGTTCCTGATCATCAAGAGCCTTTTTTAGGCTCTTATTCTCACTTCGCAGGGAAGTTATCTCCTTATTGATCTTTTCAAATTCCGTTTCAACATTTGAAAACTTTTCTCCATACTTCATATCTATTTTATTAGTTATGCTCTGGGCGATCGAATTTTTAAATTCAGCGTTAAAAACAGCCGATGTCTGTTTGAAACAAAGGGACCGTTGAATGAACAAGGATACCTATAATTGCTTCAGAATGACACAAATGAAATTTTAGAGAAGGTGCCATTGAACATGCTGTCCACCGCACTGCAGCGCAACAAAAAAATGAGCTCATAGAAGGAATTCACCACATTACGAAAGCAATAATAATACCTATACAATAGATTATATTTAAAATTTACTAGTCGTTTTGCCAATGTAGAGACATTATTTAATATTGTTTTGAATTCTAAGGTAATACGTACTAAGAAACTCTTATCAGAAGAACGGTCTCCCATTCAACTGCAATTTTCGGTAAAACGATACACTATACCGATATTCAACTGATATACCTTTTTTATGTAGAATTGTCCACAAAATCTAAAAATGAATCCTAAATGATTAGGTCATTGGCGTAGAAGTTGGGGTAAAAAAATCCAGCTTTATTACCCATTCTTACGCCACTGTCCTACAAAAATTTGTAAATTTTACAGTAAATTATGCACATGTATAAATATTAACACCACGCCAAATTTGAATCAATTCGTTATAAGCATACCAAAGATTTAGTAAATAATATGATTTTAAAAACTGACCAATACGGCCCTGTACGGTTAAAACGGTGCGACTTAGACCCTTGCTTTATAAGGCAATTATGAATTATTTATTGAGTTCTATTTGTGGTTAAAGTTTGATTCACTCGAACTGAAACACCCTGTATGGTAGGACGTGACAGATAATGTCATGACAACATTATTATTGTGACATTTCATATTATCATTTCATAAAAATGAGTAACACAGAAGTAGAAAATTGAAATTATTAGAAATAAAAATTAGAGAAACTATTTATGAGTTAGACGATAATAATAACGCTGTTTTGAATTGTATAAATAATTTAAGAAGATATAAGCTTTGTGTTTTAAATAATGGAGGCCATTTCAAGCAATATAATATTTCAATTTTCTACTTCTGGCTTATACTTTTCTTGGAATTTTATTTCAACAAATATTGTACCTACGCACTGTATTATAATCTACGTATACAATTACCTTTTTAAGAACAAGACTATTATGATTAAATTAAGAATAGGTCTTTTTTATTTAAGGATGGAATTAGGGCTAGAACTTTTGTTATAAACTCACTATGTAACTAGAATGGAAAAGAACTGATATATCCAAATGGACTTGTATTGACGCTTTTTGTTTATATTTTTCTTTATATGCTACACATAACACATAATTATAAAAATATAAATATCTCACGAAAAGTCAACTACAGAATTAATATCATTACAAACAAGTTTCAACTAGTTATTTTTAATTTATTTATATCTTTGTATTGCTTATTGCTTCGTGGATTATTAGTACTGGTCACTTCCTAACAGCATGCTCAGCAATGTAATTATTTTCAGATTGATAAAAATTCTGTTTTTATAGTAATAAGCACTTACCTTCTTCTGGATATCCTAGACCAGGGCCTAGATACACTATAGGTTGACTGATGGCTGCTTACACTTGTAAAAGATCTTCCACTAAAACTGCTAGTAAAATTTGCCTTTAGCTGAAAATAGACAATAGAAAATTAGAAACAATAATGACGCACAAATAAACAAACAGAAAGGTTATAGAGATAATATTACCTGCTTAAAATGATCCTCTTTCTGTTTGTAAACAGTGTCTATTGTTCCTCTACATGCGTTTCTTGATTTAGTACTTTTATTTCCCATGAAAATACACTCGTATCGCCACGAAACAAATGGTTTCCAAAATGAAACCTATAAACATTTCAACTTTGGTGACCCTAAGACAGGTAATAAACCTTTGTCAATTTTCTCTAACAATAAGATATGATTGCCGTTCTAGGAGCTATTCGATTTTCTTAAGACCAATTCTTTATTCTTCACACCTGAATAGGAAGATTAGACAGAGATGAAGAGCAAAAGTAAACCTTAATTAAACGCAGCAAATGTTTTGTCACTGTCGACTATGCGTCATATAAATACATCAGTCAGAGGTCGCTTCAGACTTCCAGGCAGGATTTTTATCATCAATCAATAGGTGTTTTCTTTTATATATATTTTTAATAAATCTATTCCACTTGGTATTATTAAGATAATCGAAAAGTTACAGATCTAAATCTTCAGTACAAGAATAATGTTTTAGTACCCTTCTCAATTTCAATTTGATTAAAACATTTTTATGTCTTAGGAGCTTTCGTTTTAGATAAATTGTAACATTTGTAACTGCTTTCTACACCAGTGATGCCAACACATTATAAAATATCAGAATTTCTTCTAAAGTCTAAAGAAATGCCATTATTCTATGGCTAGAAATTGGCCTCAATGATTTGGGATCGAGGGGGATTATCCCTCTTTATCCTGCCTCATCTCGTGTAGGCCTGGACNTCTTTTCAAATTCCGTTTCAACATTTGAAAACTTTTCTCCATACTTCATATCTATTTTATTAGTTATGCTCTGGGCGATCGAATTTTTAAATTCAGCGTTAAAAACAGCCGACACTTGATCCGTAACAATTCTTCGGATCTCATCAAGATCAGTCCTCGTAAGCACCATTTTGAAGAAATGAGACGTAACTCAGTAGCACAGACAACTTAAACACTCAAGTTGCATACAGTTTTCACAATTTAAAAACCCAATTTTACTCGGAAACGAAGTTAAACTGGCAGACGACTCGGGCACGTAGTACTAGGCAGTCGCCATCTTGATTCTTGATATGGTATACAAAGTCAGTCTGAAATTTAACGAGTAATCTAAAAATGCCATAATATACAGGTGTTCCATTTAAAAAACTAAAGTTGGTTAGCGCTCAGGCTAAAGCCTGTGTAGTTGAAAATATTTTACAGAGATGAACAATAAAAATAGAAACAACTTTTGTTTAACAATATTTTTTCTAAAGCGACTCGTAAGGAAGCTATGGAACCTTCAATCTCAAGTGGGACACACTATATAAACAGGGTGATTCACTTTTTATGATTAGGACTTTAACTATCGATAGATCTCATCAAAATAATGTTATTATGATGTATACACTTTTTCTTCCAAAGGCTTCCTTTTAGAGATATAAGCTCTTGAAAAAACATTTTTTTTGGTTTTTATTTATTTTTTCTTAAAAGCCATTTTTATATTTAGTTGAAGTGTACGAATGAAAAGATGTATCGATTTTAAAAATGATTGTGAAAGTAAATCAATCATCGGCATCCATAAGGGGCTCTGATAATCCCTATTTTTAATATAATTTCTACGCCACTTGAAAATTTTCAAAATGAATATATTTTTTTACATTGTGGTTTATTCTACAACAAAAAGGTCATAGTATTTTTAAATAAAATGCTTGGTTTTTGAGAATACTGGCTTATTATGGATTCATTACATGTGAAATGGTTAAGTTTAAACAAAAATAAAAAATATNACTAGCCTCGAGTTGATTTTTTGATATTTTGTTTATAACAGGTTTCTGAACAATATTCTGCAGATAAACTTCTAATAGTATTTTTTTCCCGAAACAGGCTGTTTCATGTCTATAATGACTGAGCTATCTTGACAATTCCTAAATCTGGATATCTCGCAAATTTTAGTACTAGTATTACTGGATGTGAAAATATGCCAAAAAATCGATATTTCAACGCTCAGAAAATATATAGAACAGTTAGTATGGAGACGCGATCAAAACAGCTGTCAAATTTTTAATGTTTTAATGAGTGTCAGTTCTGTTTTGTTTTAAATGCGCTAGTCAAACTACAGTAAAATAAATAGCCAACAAACGTCTTCCATTTTCTTTCACTCTAATACACATAAAATATTGGAACGGTTGTCTGTGATAGATTGAAACTATGAAGACATTTATACCATCATTGTATCTCTTTTTAGCACGTTTAATAATGAATTCACGGCCGCAACGACTGTCTTTGACATTAGGACACACTTGTGACGTAATGGCAATCTTAAAACGGTTCTAGTGTACCACAATCCCACAACAATTTTGATTTCTTTTAAGAAAATGCAACTTTGTGTTCTACCATTTAACTTTTTGATCTCCCAAATTTTTTTATACTAACTGTGAATGGCCATGGTTCCAACTCTGGCAATCTGACCGGCCAGCAAGTAGGACCATTGATAACACTCCATCTACCAGCGAGGAAACATTGAAACGAATGAGAACTAAAACTAATAATAATAATAATAATAATAATCTTTATTTTCAAGAACAGTCACATAGATCCAGTAACATTAATGAAAATAACGTCAACAGAGCTTTGCTATTACAGCACTAACAACTTTACAACTATCCATATAGAAAAAATAAATACCTATATAATAGATTTCAAAGATCAATTCATCTTTACAAGCTATTATTATTAAAATACTCATCTACAGTATATGGTTCCAGATCTTTTCTGTAACTCAATCTGTGTATCAGATAGGAATAATCCTCAGTTCTGGTTTAATGGTTATGTTGTGAAGACATTTTTGTGAACAAATGCCTGTTTATAAAAAGAATAATAATATTTCTTGTATGTAAACAGCTGTGAAATTTAAAATTTTATTTTCCTTGAATTTTCCCCTGCACGATTCTCTACTCTTCATTTTTAGGATTATTCTTAACGCGCGCTTTTGAATAATAAAAATCCTTTCGGCATCTGAACTAGTGCCATAAAAAATTATACCATATCGAAACACAGATTCAAAGTTAGCATGGTAAACTATTTTCAATGCATCCCGCTTTATGTATTGGGCTATAATCCTCATTGAATAAATTACATTATTAAGTCGCATAACATGTTGGACATGGTCTTTAAAATTTAGCACAGTGTCTATATAAATACCAAGAAACTTAGTACTATGAGTTGTATTAATTGGTGACATTGTAAAATTAATGTTTTGTATTGTTTCATATTGAGCATGTGTGGTTTTAAATAGTACTACACCTGTTTTGTCCTTATTTAAGATCTGTTTATTTTTAGTGAATCATTTATTTGTTTCAGATAATATATTATCTGCATCATCCAATAGCTCAGTAAAGCTCACCCTGCTCATAATTATATTGGTATCTTATGCATAATTCACAATATCACACTTTCTATTTATGTTTATTACTTCGTTTAGGTCATTTATATATATTATAAACAAAAGAGGGCCAATAGAACTTCCCTGCGGTACACCCAATATCGTTTCAACAACATCAGATCTTGCACTTTGTCCATCTTTGCATAGGGTCACTGTCTGCTTTCGACTAGATAAGTACGATTTTATCCAATCTAGAGCGGAATCTCGAATGCCATATCTACACAGTTTTTCATATAATATATTATGGTCAAGACAGTCATACGCTTTTGATAAGTCAATAAAAATGCCCATAGGAATCTCTCTTTCTTCTAGTGAATCCAGTATTATGTTAATTAATTGAAATACCGCTGTTTGAGTAGATTTGCCTTTTTGATATCCATGTTGATTTTTAATAAACAAATTTTCTGCAGTCTTATATTTAACAATTCTGTCATTCATAACTAATTCAAAAAGTTTAAAAAAACTGGGTAACAAACTAATTGGTCGAAAATTTTCAAATTTTGTGTGATCACCTTTTTTGTGTAACGGTCTAATTAGAGCAATTTTCAATTCATCAGGAAAGATACCGAATTTTAAAGAATTATTAATAATATAAACCATAATTGATGCTATTTGACTCATACATGATTTAACAATTTTTGTAGGTATTTCGTCTACTCCGCTGGACATTTTATTTTCCGATATTTCTAATAGTTCTTTAACTGTTACTTGTTTTAAATATATGACATTTTCGTTATATTTAATTTTATGAGTAAAAGGAATATGACATTGGTTTTGAATCATTTCATTCACATAATTTACTAAAAAACTATTATATTTATCTGCTACTTCCTTAGCACTATCGTCAATTTCAATCGGTTGGTGTGTTTGAATAACATTTCCTCTAATATCTTTGACTACCTCCCAAACTGTTTTTGATTTGTTATCAGACTTGAGTATTCTGCTTTGATAACTACTTGCTTTTTTCTCTAAAAGTTTATTATTATATTCTTTTTTCATCATCTTGTAAGTATCTTTGTATCTTATATTCAGCGTGCTGCATATATGTAAAATGTCTAATCGATTTTTACACATAATAAGTTCCTCATCCTTCATATATACATTATTATTATTATTTTTTAATGCCTTACATATTTTTTTAACATGAAAGCTTTCATTGAAATAATACATAAATATATTTGAAAAAATATGCCATTGCTCATTTACATTATTTGGCGACACATCATACACAGGTGACCAATCTGTTGTCTCTAACATATGGACAAAGCACTGTATATTCTGTTTAGTAAATGATCTTTTTATTTCAAAATTATTATTATTTCTTTTGTTTAATTCAAATTTAATCATCTGTGCTGTATGATCTGAAATCCCCGTGTGTATGACATGTGCAGACAAAACAGTAAAATTAGTAAATATATTGTCAATTCCAGATTTGCTTGTAGGTGTANTTTAAAGAATTATTAATGATATAAACCATAATTGATGCTATTTGACTCATACATGATTTAACAATTTTTGTAGGTATTTCGTCTACTCCGCTGGACATTTTATTTTTCAATTTTTTTGATATTTCTAATAGTTCTTTAACTGTTACTTGTTTTAAATGTATGACATTTTCATTATATTTAATTTTATGAGTAAAAGAAATATGACATTGGTTTTGAATCATTTCATTCACATAATTTACTAAAAAACTATTATATTTATCTGCTACTTCCTTAGCACTACCGTCAATTTCAATCGGTTGGTATGTTTGAATAACATTTCCTCTAATATCTTTGACTACCTCCCAAACTGTTTTTGATTTGTTATCAGACTTGAGTATTCTGCTTTGATAACTACTTGCTTTTTTCTCTAAAAGTTTATTATTATATTCTTTTTTCATCATCTTGTAAGTATCTTTGTATCTTATATTCAGCGTGCTGCATATATGTAAAATGTCTAATCGATTTTTACACATAATAAGTTCCTCATCCTTCATATATACATTATTATTATTATTTTTTAATGCCTTACATATTTTTTTAACATGAAAGCTTTCATTGAAATAATACATA